CGTCCTCGGTTCGGTGAATTGTGTGGGGGGTGGGGGGGGGGGTTTTTCCATTAAAAAAAAAAAAAAACTACAAAAAACCCCCCAGTTTTTTCTTGATTTATTACATCCACACAAAGCAGAACAAGCATCTACAGCAGTAATGACTTTAGTGGGATTTCTACCAGAACAAACTATAAAAGGGAATGAACAACAGAAGAGAGGTGAGGGGAAAAAGAAAAAGAAAAACGAGCAAAAATCCATTTTGTTTGATGTTAGTGTCTCAGCCTTGCAGAAGATTCTACAGGAAAAACCCTGAGAAATAACATTAGGGGCATCTTGTAATGTGATTTCTGCTATGTGTGAATATGAGATTTCTAATGGATCCGAGCACATTAGAGCAGTCTTTATCTGTAGTATTTATTCCCCCTTGGTTTCAAATGCAATTTGCCAAGTACGACATTTCACTCAGCTCCAGTTTACCAGCTTTCTGGCTTGAAGGGATATGGGGGAGAATAATAATATAATAAGGGATATGGGGGGTGGGGGGGGGAGGCCTGTACAGTATAGCATTTGCGACAAATTGGTACTTTATAAGAAGCATATTCTGTCCCTGTTATTTGGAGAATATGCAAAGATAATAGCTGTAGGAGAGAGGTTCTGCTGTGTTTTTGAACATTTTCATCTACGTGTGATTGCAGTGAGGGGAGATTTAGGAGGGGGTTGCATTGGCAGATGCGTTAGACCTTTCCAACACTTCAATATTCAAAATATGTTTGTATTCTCAAAAGGTTTCACAGTAGTATGGGGATTTGGAAGGACAAACGTGGGCGTTCTGGTCAGAACAACCCAATCTTTCTCTGTAACATAGGTGTACAGTAAAACCTAAAAATGCTTCTTTTTTTTTCATTCCCCCAAAGTTAATTTTTTTTTAAGCAAAAATTATTATCACAAGTTTTAAAATTATATCGTTAATAACACCTGTGTGGTTTTGAAGTTTTACTATTTCATCTCATGGCTCTTATGCTGAATATCAAGTGTTAACATGCTATAGCTACATTACAGCTTAAATTTTAAAAAAGTTATGCATGTACAAGATCACTGGAGATTCTGTTCTTTTAGCTCAGTGTGTGGGTGATGAAATTGGTTATCCATTTGTCACAAGTCTTCCTTTACAGCAGCCATAGCTGTAAATATGCTGCGCAAAAATCTTAATATAGTTGTTTGAAAAAAAATGTCTTTAATGTCATTCTCTGAAATAAGATCTAGAAAGTTAGATAACTTTCTGTTTTGAACAGAAGTTTATTTTTTGCCTGTTTGCTTTCGGTGCCTTTGGCTTAATGAGTCTTTTTTTTTTTATCTATCATAACAGCTTTTGGTTCTAATCTGAATGTAGACTTAATCAATGGCAAATTTATAATTTTCCCGTGAAGAGAGAAACAGAAATAAAATGAAGCTCATACTTAAATAAAATAATAAAAAAAAACAAACAAACAAACAAAAAACACCTTTCTGGTATTTCTCAAGATTTAATCCAAATGTTGTTTTCAGAGCACTGAGCTATTTGGGGCAATGTGACATTTTCAGAGCAGCCAACCAGTGTCCCAATTCTTACATCGTGAGAAGGACAAAGATTCATATCCGCCCTCAGTTTTCCTGGCACTCTGATGTCTGCTTTTGAGTTATGAGGGTCACGGCATCCCTGATTAACATTCTCATTTACATGTTTCTGTCAGCATTTCCGCAAATCGTCCCAAATCAACCAATACGGCGCTCTCCGAGCTCTCCAGGGGCTTAATGAGCTAAATTAAGAAGGAAGTCATTTAACCCCTGCCTGCAACGCAATCACGCGCCCATATGCACAGCCTCGGCGTTGCTCGGCATACCTGCTCATCACAACCAAACAGGCAGGAGCGCGCCAGCACGTACGCACCGTTGTATCTGCCTCACCTCCACCCCAGATTTCAGTAGATGCGAGATGGAGCAAGGCCATTATGCAAATATCAGGTGTCAAGTGTAAATGAGGTTGGAGGGATGGGTAACAGAAGTATTGAATATCACACTGGCTCCCTTGGCAACAGCGCCGAGGTACAGTAATGAGAGCATTCCAGGATGTGGGCTGGCAAAAGCTTCGTTACACTGAAAGATAGAAATGTGAGAGATATGAATTTAGTCCGCTGGGTCTCGCTGGTTTAAAAAGCATAGACGGCACCATCTGCTTAGTGCGGTACAAAGGAGATTTGAACAGGCGGGTTCTATTCTTATAAATCTGCGAGAGTTAAAGCTGCATCAACTTTTTATAGGAAGATTGAGAAAGTCATTTTATCGCAGAATAATATTTATTTAAGCGACATGATGTGAACAAAATACCGGATTTCTGTTTGCAGACATGTTTTATACATGCTTCCCCAAAGCTTGATAATGGGTCCTAATGCCTAATTAATTGCCTCACTTCAGTTTCTCATCATCTCATCCTATTGCTCAGACCGTCTTCTTTGTTCATCTGGCTCTCTTCTTTCGCCGACTCATCTCCTGCTCTCCCATGGGTCCTCATGCAAAGATAAAACATTCCCGCTATTAAAAAGACCCGAGCCGACAACCGTTAATTTAATTATTGATAACAATCTGAACAAATAATTGTCTAAAGGTCATCTAAATGTTAAACTTGAAGTCTCCGTGATCACGTTATTTTCATTGGAGGAAACCAACCCGTAGAAAAACAGTCTGCCAATGAAAGCTTAATGTTTTTTGTTTTTGTTTTTTAAGAAAAGATCAATTTCACATACCTGCTTGCCTTCCCAAACCATAATCACTGTTAAATAGATTATGAGATGATTTCATTGGGGATTTTTTTCTACTACAGTGTTAAACTAAGGCTGGCTTGGTTTTCCAAGCTGAGCTCCCCACTGTTATGTCACTAGAAACATCTCATTCAGCGAGAGTTTGTTCCTTTCTCTCCTTTATTCTGAATTTTGGCCGCGTAAGGAAACCCATTCAACGACACAAACCACATCATTTATTTCAGTAGCCCCAAAAACATATCCTAATTTCACCATTCACAGTGACTCAGTGATTGCTAATATGATTGTTCAAAGCATTTATGACTTTTTTTTTTAACTTGATCAGGCATCAACAGAGCAGAAAGTGTTTTGAAACCACTTCAGAAACGGTGTTTGTTGATTGAACTGAAATAAAAAGAATAGCATTCGTAGCCAAGCCTTGTACCGGAGCATTAATAAGCGTAAACTATGTGATGAATAATAGCAAATGAACAACAGGAAAATAAGAGGCAGGGAGATGATTATTCCTGTGCTAGTATCACTTTTTTCATTTATGTTGTTGCTGAATGGCTTTTACTTTTTTGTCTTAAATGCTTTTCTTTGAACCAGCTAAGAGTTGCACCGGTCTCTCGGGTATATTTATTTATCTGGTTTTTGTTTGTTTGTTTGTTTTTTTTACAGTGACACTGGCACAGTTGAGTAAACAACTAAATGTAAAGGCCAGAAAAAAATTATGCATTCAATATCTCCAGCTTAATAAGTTTTAACAACTTCATTTTGTAGAACAAGTTTACCAACAGAGCTGTTTTTCCACAACTTTAAGCAACTTTAAAAAAATGTATTCAAAAAACACTCCTTTGTAAAAATGAGTTTATATTAAACCAGCCTTTGTTGTAATCCATCCACCCATTTTCTTTACGCCCTTGTCCCTTAGTGGGGTCGGGAGGGTTGCTCGCCCGGAACGTTGCAGCTAATGTTCCCTTCAAGAGGTGGGGTACACCCTGGACAGGTCACCAGTCTGTCGCAGAGCAACACAGAGGACAAACAACCATGGACACACACTCACACCTAGGGGCAATTTGCCAATTAACCTGACAGTCATGTTTTTGGACTGTGGGAGGAAACCGGAGTACCCAGAGAAAACCCACGCACGCACAGGGAGAACATGCAAACTCCATGCAGAAAGACCCCGGGCCGGGAATCAAACCCAGAACCTTCTTGCTGCAAGGCAACAAACAGCTCTACCAGCTGCGCCAACTGTGCAGCCCCTTTGTCATAATGGCATCTTTTTTTTTTTACCATTCATTCCAGTGTTTTGCTAATTATTGGTTCACATTTGCGTCTTTCAACACTAACCAGACACATTAAAAGCCCTACTATGGAAACTTGCTTTGTTTTATTATGATGACATTTTCACCCAAAAGGAACTTTTATGGTTTTGTTACTCTTAGCACGAATACCTCTGCAGGAGCTTGTTTTGGTGAAATGCTGTCTGACTATGTGGTAGGACACCAAAAATATATATCAGCATGACTGCGGTGGTTGTTCTAAACTGCTAATTGAATGAATGCTGACTGTGTAATAAGAGCTCCAGCAACTGCTTCAGCACAGTGGCTATAGAAAACAGATTAAACTTGTCTTTGAGTGGAAGACTACAGCTAAGTAGAACGGAATAATAACAGTTAAAATAATTTTATTTCAGAAACAGAGAACACAAAAGTACATGCCAAAAGCATATAGCAAATGTACAGACAGTAAAACGGGTGTATTGAAATCCTTTCCATTGCATTTTCATCCTCAGTTCCCCACATGTTGCAGCACAGACAGTAACTTCCACTCTCTCCCAGGAGACGAGGCTGTCAGCTTCAGCAACATAAAGGGATGGCAGTGACTGCATCCTGCAGCTTGTTGTTGAACCAGAATCTCTCATAATCAAAACTTGCTTAGATAATTAGGTTAGTTTGTCATTTCTCGGCCCACAAGACGGACTCGGGGTGGGAGAGAGAGTGGGCCGCCAGCTGTCATGCAGACAGGTAAAATGGATCAGTTGTGTCTCATTTTATCAGTGAGTTGTTACTGTCAGTTTCAGAGCCTTGGTGCTGATGTTGGTAAATAGGTTTTTGAGAAAGGGAAAAAAAAAAAAAACACAGTTGTTGCTTCCCCCTCATAAAAAGTTGGCATATGATAGTATTTTTTTTTTTCACTCAACAATTCTGTTCATATATGCAACAGAAAAATGTGGATGTTTTTGTTCAGCAGCGTCTACATGTGAGATTATAGTTCTCAGTTGGGGAAAAAATGCAAACTTCCTTCCATGTCAGAAATTCAAATTTAAGACTCGAAAGTGATGAAAAATACACACAGATTAAATTTAAAATAAGCTAAATAGTTGTTGTTTTTTTTATGCTACAAAGCTCCACAACAACAGATCAGTCTTCTGGCATTCAGTGACAGGATAAATACTGTTAAAGAGTGTTCAGTGTAAAAATGGGGCGTCTGATTTGGAAACCGATGTCAAATGTTGGATAATTTGTGAGTTATTTGTCGGTTACGATCCTTCAAGTGTGCTTAAGGCACTTTTACCCTGTATTTTTCATCTCTTTCATCTTTGCGTCATCTTTCATACTATAGTTTAAGGCAGATTGAAACACTGCAACGTATTCCCTAAATGGACTCTTTATTATCAAGGTTATGTTGCAGGGCCCTTAAGACCCATGGTAGCTTTATCCTTTCTGGGTTCACAGTGGTGGACTGAGTTTCCCACTGAATGCAAGAGCAGATTCTCTGGCAATCCTAGCTGCAGGCTAAAACCCAAAATTTCAAATAGCATTTTACCAGCCTGAGACTATTTTTTATAGTTTTTTTTTTTTTGTTGTTTTTTTTTAGACTCGCCATTGGAGAGCTGATGTCAAGTAGGGTTTTCTGAACCTCCATGCTTCTCTTTTCACAAACTCGACCACCTTGTATCTCACAGAACTCCATTCACAGCTCTTTTTATGAGTGCATTTGTGAAAATGTTTCAGCCACAGTTGAGGCTTGAACAAGTGACCATTTTTGAAAGGTTAAGCTATAACATGTAGATGAAGTGCAGTACATGTGGAAGTATTTACACTTTTATCCAACTCACGTTTTTCATGTTATAGCACGAGATTTAGTTATTTATTTATTTTTAATAATACAATTGAAAGCAGCCTCTTGGAGCACACCGTACAGGTCAAGGATAAAGCAGGGTTGGGATCTAATACAAGTTTTCACACAGAGCACAGTTCAATCCATCATTCAAAAAAATGGAAACAGCATAGCACATCTGCAAATCGACCAAAATATGACTGTCCACATAAAGTGATGACTAGCTGGCAAACAGAGCCTCTCTAAGGGAAACAGTGTAGGTGCCTTTAGTGGCTTTAAAGAGGTTTCACAGATCCACTACTCAGGCGGCAGAACTATTAGTCTTGCTGTCCACTAATCTTTCCTTTATGAAAGAGGTTTCAACATAAAAATCTGTTTTGAAAGAACGTGCCAAGATGTTGAGTTTACAGTTTGCAGCAGGACATATAGAGGATGTGGCTAGATCGGATCAAACCTTTTTTTTTGCCTTACATTCAAAATTCTTTTGAAAAAGAAATGTGCAAGAATGACTAGTTATAAAAAGTTGGTGGAAACATTTTCAAGTAGACTTGCAGCCATAATTGTTGCAACAAAACTGTCAATACAGATATATATATATATATATATATATATATATATATATATATATATATATATATATATATATATATATATAACAAGTACGCATATTTGCGCAATTAGAGTACTTTTGCATCTGCTACGTGTCTATAGATGTAGGACGTATTTGTGAAACTGAAATGAAAATGTCACATTTAAACTTTTTCTGCAGCCAACATTTTTATATTTTATTGAGACGCATCTTCACCTCAGCCTCTGCTGTTTACTTTACATATTTTTTTTGTAGACACCAACTCAAAATAAGACGGATTAGCAAGCTGCCACTTCCATCATCTTATGTTACAGCCCAACACTCGTGCTTATTAAATTAAACATGGACAGGGCATTTCTGCAGATTTAACTCCAGCCTGCATTTCACCCCTTTTACTGTTTGATTGTATAATCATCAGGTCCTTTAACGGATTGTATTAAATAATTTACATCATTTATAGTTAATTATCTTGCTAATTCATTTAAAACCCAATGGTCTGCTTTGAAATGTACCCAGCAGGGACTCTTCTTGTCCACTCTCCTCGTTCCCCTTGCCGTCATCTTCCTCTCCCGTTCTCCTCAGTGCCCTTTGGTAATCTTGATACTTGAAATATTTCATAGACAGGCTCTCTGTTTACCCATATGGCCAAGTGCATAAAAGCTCGCCACTCACACACATTGCCCCCCCACACCTGTCACTTTCTTAAAGTGAAACACTCAAAGTTAAAGGTCAGTGCTAGCTCAAGGTTGCCTCTCTCTCTCTCTCTCTCTCTCTCTCTCTCTCCCTTTCCCCCTAGAGAGCCCTCTCTGGTGGACACCGGCTCACACTCAGACGAAGACATGGCATTACAAAAAGCCGTCTTCGGAGAGGCTATGAAGGGATCAATGAATAATTTAACCCCTAACATCATCTTTCCCCCCTTGCCAGTAATGTATCCACAAACATCGTTGGGTGTGTGGGGAAGTATTGCCACTTTCATTCAGCTGACGCCCCCTGCTTGTCGAGGGGCGGCTGTTTCGCCGGCGTAATGTGATGTGTGGGTGCGTTATCGGAGCTGTAGGTATGACAGACACACAGCCCTGGAGCTGACTTCCTGGAATTGCATTTTGTTGGCCGTCTCCAATATGAGACCTGTCACCTCGTTCCCTCCAGGCCATGCAAACCGTGATTGAGGCATTTCTGTGAGGTGTCACTATCAAGGGTACACACTTGTGAAGGTTTTTTTTTTTGTGTGTGTTTGTCTCTGCTTGTGTGCAATGGGTAATAGGCTGCAGAAGAGTTTTATACGTTTTCAATTATATGTCTTCTTCTTTTCAGTTTTTCTCTCTCTCCATTGTTCATTTTCTTGCCGTCTCTCCCTTCTACCCTGGATTTTCCCTTACTTCTCCCTTTACTTTCTTCTTCACCTCCTGTGCCCTCTCCTCCTCTAGTCCTCTGTCAACACTGTCATAGTTTGGGAAGCCCTTCAGTGTATTACAGACCTCTCACCAGCGGTTCTCTTTATGGCACTTTCTCTTTTTAAATTCAATCAGGCTTCAATGGAGCGCCCAGAACCATTTCAATTTACTACCTGGATGCCACAGGATGGAAAGTCCTACACCAACAGAAGGGCCTAAATGGAACTGAGGGCTGAGATAGAAGAGACGAGAGGTGGAGGAAAGGTCTGGAAAGGAGGGAGGGAGTTGTACTGAAGTGGTGCCACATAGAAATAACACAGAAGGAGAAGCAAAAATAGAAGGAGGAATGGGAATTAAAGGGGAGCAGGGTAAGGGAAAAAGATGACATTAGAGGGGACAGGCTGAAATGTTACAGAGAATAAGAGGCTATGGAGAGTGGAGAGACGGACAACAGCTGAGGCAGATATATCCGTCCGTCCGTCCGTCCGTCCGTCCGTCCATCCATCCATCCATACATACATACATACATACACACCTATACACACACACACGCGCACACACACACACACACACACACATACATACATAGACTGAGCTGATTCAACTCTAGAAATGTATGTATAGAATTGCGTCATAAAAATTGTTCAGGAAACTTCAAAATAAAAATAAAAAACTGCCATCTACTCTGCTGTACTCTTCAGGGCAACTTTCCATTCATTTGCCCCCCTTTGGGCCAAAATAGACTCATGTCAGTCATGGCTTGCAACCTTTTGTGTGTTGGTTTGCAGGTTAAGTGTTTTTCTCAGTACTTTTCAGGCGAATTGAAAAGTGCCTTAACACTTGGCTCTCTCAGGAATAGTTGCCATTTCAGGCTTGCTGAGTCATTCACTGAACCATGAGTGTCCTTCCCCGGCCCAGTAGTTTATACATCTCCCATCAACTCTGCCTAGAATAGATTGCGATGCGTATTAGTGTACGCATATATTGCTAGTGTCTACAACGGTAGCAGCTCATGCGCTCGTTTTCTTGCCTTTGCTTCATCTGTGTCTAAAGAAAATCATTTCCATCTCTATTTTCAGATGTTTGGCAGTGGCACAGATTATTTTCCTCTCTGCCTTCTCGCTGCCTCTGTGGCATTTTAGTTTGAGTAGTACATTTAATTAGGCCAGAAGACAGGGCTATTCATTTACGCTTTGATTTCTACTGTTATAACTTTTTCTTTCTGAGAAGCAACCCTCCAAATACTTGAGGGAAAGCTGCAGTCTCTCAGCAGGGGTCACCTTGAAGTAGTTCTTGATTAATTCCTGACATTTTCCCTTGGTTTTGCAGCGAGGTTAGTTTTTTTTTGTTTGTTTGTTTTTTGTTTTTCCCATGGATTCTGTTTTGTAACAGGACAGATTGATTTGTCTAATGTCAGCATTTTCACTGGGAATAATTGATATTCTGCTTTTTATTTCCTGGTTTACTTTATTAAAGGAGTCCCGTCCCTCTGTGGGAGGCCACTTAGAGTGATGCTTCTTAATCAGGCTTGTTTTGTAAGCAGGAGATGAACACTTAAAATATTGAAGTCATGAGGAGAATACAATAAGACCTGAAGCAGTTTTTGTTTGCACCTGGTCCTCTGACGATAGAATTGTGTCTTAGCGAAGAAATTTGTGGCTGTTATCTAGAAAATAAGCAATTAAAGGGGCCTTTCACCCACATACCCCTGTCACAAACAGGGCCATCACCTGCCGCTCTGCCTGTATTGACTTATATTGTACAGTGAGCACAAAAGCAGTAATTTAGTCCCAGCAAACTCCCATTGTGACACCCAGGCATCTTTGCCTCTCTGTGGTCTTAATGGCCACAATGTTGCTTGTGAGAAAGCTGATTCTCTCCTCTTGTCCCACAGCCATCCTCTGTTCACAAGGCGGTAAATGAGGAAAGCAGCAAAAAATACATCTGTTAACTGCCATTAAAATAAATGGGAGAGGGTCTCTATTTTTCTCTGTGGGTTGGGGGAGGAGGGGTTGCATTTCTTGCACAGGTTTCAGGGCATTGGTACATTTTTCAAATGCACAGCAACACAGTATAAAGATTGTTCACACTGGCTCAAGTGTATACAAACAGGCACACTTTGTTATCAACAAAGCCAAGAATTACTCATACCCCTCATATGTTGTAGGTTTTACGTCATAATTATTTTGTGGCATGTTTCTTCATGTTAAGCATATTCAGACATCTGATTGGGAGCTGATAGAGAATCAGTGGTTGATGGCAAGAAGACATTCCAACCCCATTACTTAAGACAAAAATATCAGAGGAAATACAAGAAGTTGATCAGCAAGTATAAAAAGGTTTTGATTTCTGGAAAGTCAATAAATTATTTTCCAGCTATTATTGATGATTGCATATATTTAAATTGATGGCAGCATTTCTTTTCCCGTGTTGTATTGCATTTTGCAAGATGCCCAGCTCATCACCTACCAGAAGCAAACGTCTTCAACTTTAAATCTATATCAGCCAGGAGTATAAATAGTGTACATTAGTTATACAGTATACTTTTTGCATCCTTTATATCTCATTTTAAAACTGTGTCAACCAAAGAAAATCTACACTAACGTAAAACTGTAAAGTTGCATAATTATTTCAATAACAGTATGTTATCCTCAACTACTCAAATATGTCTTCAAAAGCGAAAAATGACTACGATATTCATGCCCACGATTACCATTTGTACAATTTCCACTGAGGGAAAATTACACTGAGGGACACCTGAGCTCCTAAAGGAACTTTTTAACCTTCTAAGCAGTTCAGTCTTGAGGAAATTTGCTGGAAGTTGCAGATAAAAAACGATGAACTGGTTAAATGACATGTTGTTGCATTCAGACCAGCTGAGCATGCAGTTTCAAGTTATTTCTCCTGTCTTCTGTGTGCAATTGTGAGAGACTTTTATCATCTTCTGACAATAAAGAGCAAAAAGCATCAAACCTTTCTTTTATCCCTGAGCAGACATGCAGTTCAGGGTGGCTTTAGTTGGCATTTAGGAATCAAAGGATAGAAGTACTGAGCTAGCATCACCGTGTACACCTGAGAGCACCTTGACCACATTACCGCTCTGCAGAAAAGACTAACGAGAGACACACTCTTTGATACAATTAGAGGGAGATAAAGAGATGGAGGGTGGGGAGCATGCTGTAGCAAGATGGAGGACTAGGCCAATAGCGGCTGTAAGGTGGTGATTTGTCTTTGAGGCTCTGTGGTGTTGGTGTTGGCAGCGTCAGCTAAACAAGGCCATCTCATTTCCTGTTGTCTGCAGGAAGCGGCTGTCTGCTTCTGCTGCTGCTGCTTCTCAGAGCCCCCGGTCATCAATCTCCTCCTTTTAATTGGTCTGCACCACACTGCGACATGCCAGCACACACACACACACACACACACCGAGACTCACGCAAACATTCACACACGAGCATGCACATGTATTGACAGAAATATGTGTAGAGATATAAATGCCAAAGTGGGCGATTACACGTGAGGGCACAGTCCCCATGCGGTTTGCAGACTTGAAGTTGTCAGACCTTTTCAAGTTTACCTCATTTTGTTTTCATTCTCACGTTAATGTGGAATTAATTTAGTCGGTTCCTCATTACATTCCACACAACAATGCCTTTAATGACACAGCAAAAAAAAAAAAAAAAATGTGTTGAAACATTTCTGCCTTTTCTTCTGACAAGCACTGTTGAATAATTAGTCATTTGGTCCCCAAGATTAAGCTTAAAACGATGGTGTTCACATAGTGCTTATGTAGAGAACTCTTAGTACTAAAACCGTGTTTTCTTAGTTCAGCTGAAGGAGAATGTAGTTCAGGGATTTGACTTTAGAAGTCAGACATGCAAGGAATCTTTTTGCTAGGGATTCAGTCACCCTAAGCTCCAGTTCCTCAGCTTTTAATGCTGGGACTTCACCTATAAGGACCAGAAAAGTGATGATGCTCTGCTACAAATTATTTTTTTCTTTCCATTTTTGCATTTTTGGAAAGAAGTTCAGTCACAGTCATATCAATAAGACTCATTAGCTTGATTATTACCAAGATAACTACACAGGTTAACAAACTAGGAAAAAAACAAACCTTGTTATATCTGGCACTGACATCTAGAAAAGGCCACCAAGAACGTATTCATTTAATATCCAATGATACAATATGGTATCCAATTTATAGAAAGATTTTCAGCTTTAGTTGTTTTAATTTTGTTAAATTCAGCTTAAACTGAACACCATTACCACTCTCAAGGGTTTACTGTACTTTTTCCGCAAACACACATATCATATCTGTCTACTAAAGATGAGGGAATGAATGATGACCTCAAAGATCCTCCTTTCAAGAAATATATTTTAAGTAAATATACATCTTTTAAGTATATTTTAAAATAATTTACTACTTAAGACTTGAAAACACCAAAATCTATTTGATAATCCTCCCAAAAAGTTGTTGTTGTTTTTTTATTTAAGAGGTACACAACAGAAATACAGAAAATGCACTCCCACCCACAAGCTAAGTTATAAAGCTTAAGGCGATAGAGGGAAAACAAATAGTGTGTTTCTGCAAGATCATAGAGCAGGAATAGATAGAATGCTGCCCTTTATCTGTTGTCTCTCTTTTTACAGATTATCAACACATTCTGGTCCTTAATCAATTTATATAGGTACATTGCCAAAAAAAAAGTAAAGAAAAAAGTGTCTTTTATGGAAGATGTAAATTTTATAATACATTATTCAAAAGCGTGTCTGCACTGATGAAGACCCACTTCAGCATTCCTAATGCTTGAAGAACTCAGTGGGGCAGCCTGACCTGTTTTCTGATTATTTCAACTAGAAATAGAAAATCATGTGGTAATTAACTGAAAGGAAGCTGTAGTTTGACAGCAAAAATAACTTGTATTGGGTTTCTTGGTGATATTGGGATACATTTTTACACACATTTGTAAGTATAATTTCATAAGTTGATATTTAAATACACACTTTTCTTTTATTCAAAAGTTATTTTTGTAACTCGGATAAATTATTTAAAGCCTAACAGTCACAAAGTCTTAAATAGTTTACTTCAGTAACAAAGGCTACATGTGATTTTTAGAACGTGTGGAACCATTCTCTGTGAAATATATTTTCAAAATGTGGTAAGGTCAAGCACAAAACTACGAGAAACAAACAGCACTAATAGACTATCATAATGACAGCTATTTTTCTCTGGCAGGCATTATAGTCCATATGGAGGCTGTATGCAGTAAGGTCACCTGAGCATAGACTCCACTATTAAACTGTTGTAATCTCACAGTTTAAAGTAAAGGTTCTGATTATGAAGCCCATTTATACCTTCAGCTGCGAGCATATAGACACTCTCACTCACCTAATTTCCATACAGATTTGCATATTGCTGTCTTCCTCTTTGTTTTGTTTTTTTTTCCTTCTCTTTTTTTCTTCTTCTCTCACAAAGACACATGCCGATGGCACCACACACGTACAGACTGTAAGCACATACACCTTAAGCACACGAAAAGCCTTCGGTGTGTGTGAGATGCAGCATCAGGGGCCAAGAGCAGAGCATGAAACAGTGGGAAGTCTGGCGGAGGCGTGGGCGGTGTGTGGGAAGACCATATGCATTTCATCAGGGAATGATGAAAACACATGAACACACTCTTAATCGCAGGCAATACTGTCAAGTATTAAAAAAAAAAAAAAAAAAAATCAGACTTTTTTTTGTTTGTTTTAACCACATACACACCCTTTGAGCAAATTCAGTACAGGCTGCAGTTGATAAACACCAACTGGGATCTTAATTCTTTCTTGAAACCTGTTTGTGATAAAGGAAAACGGATTCTCTGTCAACTGGTCATGCAGCGGAAGCTGACTGAAGAAGCTGACACACTGCCATCTTGTGGTGGTTGTGGTAATTGCTTGAGTGACCAAAAAGCATAAGAAGGACCCAAAGCAAGTATGTGGCAGCACTTATGAATGAATTATTTTATCATTACGAGAATAAAAATAATGATTTAGTGATACGATGCAAGAAAACTGCTTTTTGTACTTGAGAGGTCGTATACTCAGGTGTTACCTCGTCAATGTAGTATCCCTGTAGAAATAATTAGGTTTTGTTTACTGAAGTGTGTAAAAATTACCACCGAATCATTACTGAATGCGCAATCCAATAACACTGAAAGCTGCATTTCTAGCACTTATTGACTAATCATCAGGCAGGAAAGCTAATGTTTATCGTACCATAAAACCCATAAAATGTCCCCAGCTATTAAAATCCATTTATGAGTTTTGAATACCGGAGTGATTGCGCTCTGCACCATGAAAGAATAATAGAGATAAGTGCTCCTGGCTGTTTTTGAATGTGCTGCTTTGATGTGTTGGTAAAACCAGGTAGATTTGACAACCATCACAGACGCAGGTATGCGGCAGCACACTCCTGCACTCTCTCCACCCTTCCGTCCCTCTCTCTGTTGGCAGAGCCGCAGTTTGCACTGTCCTTGGTGTGTGACAGAACAAGCCTTCCTCTCTGAGCGGCAAAATCAGAATTCACCATAGCTGATAGGTCCGTGCCTGAGGGGAATTCTGGGAGATTTAAAGACGCTGAGTCCCTAATCGATCTCAGCACACTCTTATTCTGCTGTCTTTCTCGAACCTTTGTCTTTATCCCATTTCTCTTTCAACGAGTAATATGCGGCGGTAGCAAATAGAGATAGATGATGGGATCCCAACCCTTTCAATTTAAAGAAGCATTTGTTACCTTGGGTTTAGTTTCTGCTGGGAAATGAATCCAAAAGTGTTGTTGGATACATTCTTCTCTGTCTGTTCTCATCTGTCTGAAAAGGTAATCAAACAGAGGGTTTGTTGTTATTTTTAAAAAGGCCATTTCTTTTGTTCTTTTTCTTCTTATTAGCCTTGTCCTTATTAATATGGATGTTTTATGCTGTTAGAAATTGTTCCTTTTTTTTAAATGTACATACACATAGGGCATGGCATCTACAATTATCTTGCTCTAGACCAAGGCGCTGACATCTGTTTCCTAATGACTGATAATTGCACGCTGTCAAGGACAATCATGAGGAGTGCTGCTAAGAAACTGACTTTGGAGTGCAACTGGTTCAGCAGTGGGGGGTTTAGAGGAAACCATGACTCCTTTCCTACGCCAGTGGTGTATTGCGAACACTTTCTTGAATAATTATTGATTTTATAGCACAATTAATAATATTAAACACACATGTATTGCTATTTTTCAATCTTATGTGTAAAGGTGAAAGGTATAGCAAAGTTTCCAGCTCAAAATTGAAGGTGATTTTTCCAGTGAGGAGGAGAAAGTTGCGAGTACTAGCTTGGAGACCAAACAAACCAGTCATTTACCACACTGGCAAATGACTGAACTGTAATAATAATAATAATAATTAAAAAAAAATCAGCTTTCCCATTGAAATTGGAGTTTTTCTTCCAATTCTGACATAATTTTTTAGTTTTTATTTTATTTTATTTTTTACACTTATGTGCACAGGCAGGCGTCAGCACATTCCTCTCAGCAAAACATCTTCGCAAGGGTCATTGTGCTTGTCTGACTTTTCTCCACATGCTATAATCAATTTGTGTTCAACTCATCAGGATTTAACTGTAACACAAAAAAACTGAGGCCCAGCATTAAACTAATTGGCAGAAGAAAGAAGATTTTTTTTGGAAGGATCAGATATTGGTTTATTGCCATACAATGTAAAAAAAAAAAAATCTCCACATAAAGTGTTTTCTCATAAATCTTATGCCTATAAGCAGTAGCAGCCCTGTTGGGGCCTTTGTTTACTCCGCGTGCGTCCGTCTTCACACATCACAACTTGCACTGTTTCCTTGTCGCTTAGCTTTTCTTTCCCTAAAATCACCTCAAATAGTTTCGTAACCCTGAGGCAAAACTGTCTTGAAGAGAAAGACAACTGAACAGAAAGACAAACGAAATGAAGAAAAGAGCAGTTAAACTTGATCTGCTTCGAAAAACAAGACACAGCGAAACTGTGGCTTATTTATGTCTTTTATCTTTAATATTCATAGGTTTTGTCTCCAAACTGTGTGGGCTTTGAAGTCAGAGTGGTGGATTTGCCATTGATGTCATTTAATTTATTGAAAACTGCTAAATGATTATCAGAGTTAATACCCTCTTCTTTCATTGTTTTTAAATAATAATAAAAAAGTAAAGCATGTTATTTCGAAAGTATTGCATTTCATGATACACCCACTGTTCAGTCTGTCGCGGCAGCGTGATGCCATGTTGCTTTGACAGATTTTGTCCGTTTGCTGCAGGGTCTAGACTGCAGCGCCATGTTGTCGAGCATCTGTTCTCTTTTATTTTAATTGGACGATTTGAGTTTTTGAACGTTACGAACACAGTGCTTTTTCTGTCGCCGTTGATCAGCAGCAATGTTTATCATTATCAGTAAATCACTTTGGCAACGCCGAAACTTCACGATTTTGCCGCGTCTGATCTTCTTCTACCGCTGGTGGTGTCAAAGCACTCTGTTTGGGCCTTGTGTCTAATACATGCCACGCATGTTAGTGAGATGCATGGATCCATGTGAGGGAAGATGAGCTGTTTACTTAAATTTATTAAGATTTCACACACAGGGACAAAGTTCACACTGTGCTGGTGCTGCTGTGTCTCTACGCTGCCTCCACGGCTTCTCCTTGGCAACTTAGCCAACACCTCTGCTGCACACAGCTGCCTTGTGGATGACTGTTTGGATGTGTGTTTTGTTGTCACTTCACAATGAAGCTGACATGGCAAACATCACACTTCAGTTCTAATTAAAAGAGGATCATAAGCAGTTCTTGAATATATGGGAAGTGAGCAAAAATGATCACAGGTTTCAGTTAAAGGTCGATGTTTATAGTTTAGTGCCAGAAAACATAAAATTCTGAAAGTATGAGCATACAGACCCAATACAGATATATGGTTAATATATAAGCACACATAAAAAGAGCGCAATGTGCATGTTCTATATTAAACATGCATATACACTGGTGTTAAAACGTCTTTGCCCCTTCCTGCTTTCCTTTTTTTTTTTTTTTTTTTTGGTGCATGTTTGGCACACTTAAACCACTTCAAATATTCGTCAAACACACACAAGTAAACAACAACAAAAAAATACAGGTTTTAAATTAAGGTGTTTATTGTGAAGGGAGACACAAAATCTAAGCCTAAATAACCCTGTGTGGAAAATTTTTTACTTAACATCCAAACTGTATCTAATTTGGTCTGCTTTTAATGGTGCTGCTGAACTTCAGTCCAAGGCGACACCAGGAGGTCAAAACTGTTTCAAATCCACCAGCGCTAATGCTACTATAGAGGATTTGTTCTTGCAAAAATCACTTACTTGCATTTGTTTTCGCTTTGATCATCTCATTTCTTCCAGTGTCTTTCTGTTAAATTTGCTCTGTTAAGACCTTTTTTTTTTTCTACTTTGACACCTAATTTTTTTTCCCTTCAAAAATTCTGAAAATTCTCTTCTTTTCATAGACATTTCACAACAAAGAAGCGACGCCACTTTAATAAGAACCGTCCTTTTTTCTTTCTTTTTTTTTTTTCCCACACAAAAAAGTTGCTGGAAGACTGACTGAAAACTGAGACGCTCAACGCATTGCGGCGACGCAGTTGTTTGAAGAAGTGGGATTGCTGTGGCACCCCAGCGTGCGTCGGAGTAAATCCTTGTCAGATGTGCAGCAGAAAAAAAAAAGTCCATTATGAAGACTGGCTTAATTTTATACTTATTCAGCGACAATTTTTGTCATAAATGTATGAATGTATGAACTCACGATGAAGCTGGGCAATTTGCCGCTGTTACTTTCTTCTTGGGTGACCATTGTTTTCTGCACTGATGCCAAACTTTGTTGCTGCATCTCTTAGCGTTTTACTGCATGATCGGCTGCCTTGTAATCGTGGAAAGTTTAGTAAGTAACATTAACCAACCCTGCAGGTTCCCATCTCAAAAACGTGCTTCTTAGAGTAAGTTTTACTCACTGTTAATTTAAAGGAGAGTCAGAAAACAGAAGTCAACTGAACTTAGATGAAATTTGTCAGTAACGGATGTAAATTTGAGCTCAGTCATACGCTGGCGGCCGTCATTTGCGTGTCTTTCTGTAGGAGGTTTGACTCAGCCTTTGACTCGCTAAATGACTCCCTGTAATGAGTTCAGACGCTTCTGCTTTGAGTTTTGAAACTGTTTGATGGTTTTTAAATGAGTGTTTGTGCACGCTAAGTTGTTTTGTGTCATTTGATATCATCATCCAGCGTGTGTGTACTCTGTAACATACAATGCCATCAGCAAGGCGTCTTCAGGACGTGCAACAATAATGAGTTTGGACATTTTTTTTTTTTCTGGATCATTTGTAAAGCATGTTCATACCAAACTTTTTTATTTTTTTCCCCCCCTCCAGTTTTTGCTTGCTCTGTTGAGATGCTGTCTGTGTTTTTTAGGTCACTTACCGTGGCTAAGCTTCCTTGCGTCACCCGTTGCTTCAGCATACAGTAGACAGGGGGGCTTGTGGCCGTTTTCCCTGCCCAGTCCCTGTTGCTCATTACTCAAATATTATCACCTCTCCCGAAATCCATCATCTTGACACCAGTATTGAAACAATGACAATAATGACAGCGCGCGATGGATTGTAGAACAACACGCATTTAAACTGGCAACTTTTTTTTTTCCCCTCCTAAGATCAATTTCTGAGAATGAAGCTGTCAGCATCCCCCCCCCCCCCCCCGTCCCCCTAAGGAGAAAAGCTTTTGAATTGTGTTCTCTACATATTTATACTGTTAAGCTCTATAGCTGGCTTCCTATTGTTTTGGAAGTTTGACGGTTTTAATGAGGCCACAGAAGAGTTTCTCATACTTAACTTTCTGTTGTGGTCGAGTTTCAATGGGAATCAATGAAGGATTTAGAATGGACTTAGATTCCTTGCTCGCTCTCTGACACACAAGGGTACAATCCCCCAACCACACACACTCAAACATTCTTCCCCTGCCCTTGCTGACTAATTGGGTGGAAATCCTGAGTAGTAGTTTAGTTTTGTTTGTTTTTTTTTGTTTTTTTGTTCTAATGCATTCACATTTTAATTTATGTGCATCTATGGTTCAGTTTATATAGTCAGTAATTCACCTGCTCTCATCTATACTTATATGTAGATTGTGCAAGCGTCTTTGTCTGCAGTGCAGCATCCACTGCACTTCACTTAAGTCCTGAAACGGGGGTTCTCTTGGCTTTTAAAAATGGCTGTATCCTCCATCATTCCTGTCCTAAGTTCATCTTCTGCTAGTTTTTTTTTTTTCCTGTTTCTTTTTCTTTCTTTTTTTTCTAGACTTTGTCACCCACAACATTTTTCTTGTCTTTGTTTAGGTCATACATTAAATGTCTCCCCGGTCAAAGAATTTATTTGTGTGGAGTTTGATTTATTTGCGCATTTATATGGACTGAGCGCTTGAGAAAGCACTTACTCTTGCATGGTTTGCCCTGTGGTGTGTGTGAGACAAGGCCAGTGACCAGTGATTCACTGATAAATGATGTTCGTATGCGCCTCTACAAACCCATACATTACTGTCTGACCCCCATCTGATACGACCGGACTTCAGCTGCGCCGAAAAAGTCCAGAGAGCAGCTTCTTTCTTGCTCAGATTGCTTTATATTATTAGCACTGTTCATCCCTTTGGTTGTTATAGTTTCATGCTATAATGAGCCTTAGCAGCTCCACTAGAGAACTTAAGCTGACCTACCTTCAGCAAAGACACATCTAGAGGCATTTATATCTTACCGACATTAGCTCCTTTTCAGGATTTTAACCCACCAAATGATGCTGGATTCACTGTGCTTGTTCTGTGTTGCCTGCCTCCAGCCCATTTGCTTTTGCTACCATTAGTTCAAACATTTTCAGGTGTAAACTGGCCTCTTTATTTCAGTTTTTTGTTTTGTTTTTGTTTTAATGTTTGCTTGTGTTAACTTCTCTTCCCAGATTCATCCAGGAGATAGAGATGAACATGGGACCCAGCCAAGCCAAGCAGTGCCAGCTCCGAACTTTCCTCACCTACTACATTAACGACCTTTTCCTTAACCAGGTTAGTGAACATTACGAGGGTCTGCTTTTAAGGCCATCTGACTCATATCAGCTCCCACAACAATGGCTTATTGAATTATCGTAGTTTTCTGGGATAATGGGACTGTTTACAGAAGAAAACCTAAGTATGAGTCATTGTTGCTCTAAATAACACGCTGACTCACTGCAATCAAAACACATTAAGAGTCTGTTC